GCGCCCCTCGGCGGGTCGCCCGCGGAAAGCGCTGGGGGTCCGTTGGCCGGGGAGCGGCTGGAGCCAAAGGCCGCGTGAACACACCTGCATGCGTCCCGATACCTGCAACACGCACACGGGAATACAGCCGGGGCGCTGACCTAAGGAACCCTACATAAGGAACGAGGCCCCTTTCTTCCAGAAGTTAAGCTTCGATGTCCGATCGAAGACATAAGGAAAACCTGAGGCGAGCTGTGAAACACTTAAAGAACGCGGAGCCCCTCCCGAACGAGAAGGGTTCCTTCTTCAGGGCCCCGACTGTAAGAACATCGCTACTGAAGCAAGCCATGCCTGTGGGAGTGTCTCGCCGGGCGTCAGACATTGACAGCTCTAGGCTCTGTGCTTTGCCAAGCATGGTTTGGTCGCAACATTTTTGCGTGTGGTGCATCCTGGCAGGCGTTAGATGTTGAAACGAAGCGAAGTGAAACGAAGACCAGCCCTACCTGCGAGTCCAATCAGCCCTCTGGGCGTAGGTGGCTTCGGGAATCCTTTGCGACCTGCGCTCTGGATGATGCTTTAATTCGCGCCTTTTCGGCCCGAAGACCGTCCAAGGTACGATGGGCCCAAGAGACCCCCTAGATCGTCCCAAGTCGATCCCCGACGCGCCCGAAAGGAGCCCCAAAAAGGGAAGTCCGCGAAAAGACTCCAGGAAGCATGGTTGGAAACCTGCACCCAGGATGGCCCCCACATGAGCCCACCCACGAAACGAAGGCCACAAAGGTGCCTCCAAGATGCCTCCCTTGAATCCTTGAGAAGATGCTCCCAGATGTCCCCCTAGGGGAACAAAAAGTCGCACAAACATAAAAACTCGGAGGTCCGCGCGGATTTCTCGGATCCGCGCTGGAGCCCCCTGGCGGCGCCTCCGGCGCCGCCCCTGGCGCGCTCCGCGCGCCAGGGAGGGGGTCCAGCGCCGATGCGAGAAATCCGCGCGGATCTCTGAGTTTCTATGTTTCTGTCGCTTTTTGTTCCCCCACTCCCGGATGCCTCCAATCTGCTCCGTGCGTGTTTTTGTTCGGTTTCGTGCGTGTTTTTTTTTGCTCGATGGTCCAGGATGGTCCCCGATGGTTCTCGCCGAGAACAAATGCACACGTCCGAGCGATGCCAAGCCCTTGAATCCTTAAGAAGATGCCCCCGGATGCCTCCCGGATGCCTCCCAATCTGCTCCCCGAGGCCGCGGAGAGACCACAGCCGGGGAGCCCGTCGCGCGCGCTCTCCTGGCGAGGAGCACACGCACACAGGAGCTGCGATCGCTCTGCGCCTCCCCGCGCGCCTGCCGCGCGTGCCACCACACTCTTCGCAGCCTCGGGGCGTGCCAGTGGTGCAGTACCGTCGGGGCGTTGACCTTAAGGAACGATGAATAAAGAACGAGGCCCCTCATTTCCATAAGCGGAACCTCGATTTCCTGTCGAAAACCTGAGGACAATCCAGGGCAAGCTGCGAAACACTTAAGGAACACGGGGCCCCTCCCCAACGAAAAGGGTTCCTTCTTCAGGGCCCCGACTGTACAATGGAGGCCAGTCCACAAGACACCTTCCACAAGAAACCCACCCTGAGACCCCAGGACGCCCATCGATTTTTGGCGGGGACACGTCACGTGTCCCACTGCAAAACCATCGAAACCCAAGAAACCCAGGGCACACTGGGGGCAAGCAGGGTGTTTCTTGGCATGGGTCTCCACTGTAGCCCTTCCCATCTGAGAAACACCACCGCACGCGTCCAAGCCATACTAGGCCTCTGGCTGGGCCGAAGGCCATTGGCTGGCCCGCCACCTGCGTCCACAAGGGTACTGGGCGCACCGAATACTAGGCTGCATGAGGCTCAGATCTCCAAACCTCTCCGCAAGCCGTTCGACACATACTCATCCCGTCGCCCCCCCCCCCGAGCGAAGTGCTAGCCACGCAGTGAAACAAAAACGCCAAAATCGGCACCAGACTTCTCCAAGACGGCTCCCAGAGGATCCAGAGCTCCCGACACCGCTTATTAATGGACCCCGCGGGGCCTCCACCGCGGCTCCAGACGCCGGACAGTAGCCCAAACGAGGAGCCCAGACGCCTAACAGCGCTGATGTGTGTGATGGCCTCCAGGCTTGCTGAGGCAACATGGTTCCAAGAGGGACTTGGGGAGCAGGCCCCTTCCAGGACTCAATATGGCCCACAGACGGTCCAGCAAGGGCTAACAGATTGCCCAGGAGGGCTCCTGGACGGGTCCTGGAAGACCCAGGACGGACCCCGGGTGGCCGAGATGGCCCCGAGGCCGCGAAGACGGCCAAGAGAGGCCAAAAGACAGCCCGAGAGAGGCCTGAGACGGCCAGAGAGTGTCAACACATGCGTAGACAACTGCGGAGGCGGGCCGCGACACTCAGATCGATTGCGCTACCGATGGCATCAGAAAAAAAAAACGCCAAGAAGGCCGACCAGCCGAAAAGGCCCCGAGAGCCAACAATATGCTTTGCCAGAGGCACCCCAAGAGAGGGGGGGCGACGGCGACCCGCTGGAGGCGCATTCGATACGAAGGACACTACGCATGAGATGCGAATGCGACAAGAAATAAAGTCGAGCGGAGGACACTCGATAGATACAGAAAGCAGGCGCTCTTCCAATCAAGAGAAACATCCAATGGTCACAAGGCGCCGCCGAGCAACTAGCTAGGCAACACCAACGTGTGTTAAGAGGGGCATCCCTAAGATGAGTGTCAGAGCATTAAGAAGGACAGAAAGAGACGCCCGACGACTGATCGCTACTCAAGGTGTGCCCATATGTTTCCGATTGACGTTGTGCACATGAAACAGTATGAGACCATGTATGGATGAGAAAGTGGACAAAAATGGCGGCTGCCAGGGGCCCCTTGACTTTCGTTCAAGTGGCCACAACTGTGCACTGCCAGGCGTGGCTGACACATTGCAGAGCCCACAGGACCCACGGGAGAGGAGGAGCAAGAGCAGACAGACGGACTGACTGACGCGCCCCTGACCCAATGTAATCAAAGAGCTAGGCACCTGGGCCAATGTCACATGAATCAAAGGGCTCGTGCGCCCCATATCGGACACGGACATTACTTTTCGCACGCAGTCCCTGCCAAATGCCACTGACCAAGGACCGAGGAAAAAGGATCCTCCTCTCGGGGCAAGGCATATTGAAATAACGCCAACTCAAAATCGGTGCCGGGACCCCTCCTTGGGTCCAAACGCACCCATCTTCCAAGCGCCGTCCAGCCGTGGCGGGGAGAACGCTCCCCGAAGTCTCAACTCGTCCTCCTCTAATCCTCACCGCCCTCCCATTCATCCCATTCCCTCGCCGCTCCCTCGAGGCACGGGGTTCCCTTCCGGCCCTCTCCCTGAAGCGCGCTGATGGCCGCTCTGTTGCCGCTGGTGTTGCCTGCCTGCCTTCCGTCGATCTTCGTGTCCCAGCAGAGTTGCTGCGGTGATGGCTTTGGATAAGGAAGCCTTCGGTAAGGAATCCAGGGTCTGGACGGCAGTGGACAGCCAATCGTGGATTGGCCATGGATATCACCGCCGCCCCCGTTAGATCAGGAACCCTCCAGGATCTGAAGCCTCCTGGGCACGCGCCCGCGCCGTATCTCACTCTTGCTCTTCGGGTTGTGCGCCGTCACCTACTGGCAGGCGCACTGCTTAATCCGCGCCGACGTTAAAAAACAGCTCTCGAGGAGACGAGCACCCCGACGCCCCGGCGGGGCGGGCCCGCGGTCCTGTCGAAGTCGAAGACGGCCAGCCGGAGCGGCGGCGCGGACACGCCCGGGGGGCCGGGCGTCATCGTGCCCACGCCGGGCGCCTGGGTGGCTCGGGGTACGAGGAAGGAGGAGGAGGAGGACAATTATAAACCAAAGACCCATCAACGATACTAGAATAAACCCTCCCTCCAAGCTCCCCCTTCGTCGTTCTCTGCAGGGACTCATTCTCACTCATGGAAGCGCCCCGTTGGAACACAACCGATTCAAATCCGGAACTGTGCCAGAAAACCATTCCTGGGACTTCGACGCCGCGAATCACCGTCTGTGCTTCGTCTTAACGACCCTGAACCGTGCCAGGAAACCATTCCTGGGACTTGAACAGTGCGAGTCCATGTGACTCCTGCGCCCTGACATCCGACATCATGCCGAAATACAATTTCCTGGACGTTAACCATGAAATCCATTGAACCTGTTGCGAACTCTTGAAACGAATGCGCACGGCGCGAAGGCGAAAATCTAATTCTCAAAAAGAGCTGCCTTCCATCCGCTAAAACTCTTGCACTTGCTAAGAACGAACGCGCCTGGCGCTGGGGTGAGAACCACATTCTGAAAACATGCCGCCCTCCATCCGCGAAAATCCTGCAAGTTCTCTCGAAACGCATGCGCGCGGCGCCGAGGCGAGAACCGCATGTTGAAAGCGGGCCGCCCTCCATCCGTTAAATTCCTGCAGTGGTGTAAAACGAATGCGCGCGGCGATAGGGCGAGAACCACATTTTGAAATTTAAAAGAGGGCCGCCGTCCACCCGTGAAGCACTTGCGATTGTTCAAAACGAATGTGCGCGGCGCTAAGACGAGAGCATTATTTTGAAAGCGGGCCGCCCTCTAGCCGTGAAGCTGTGGCACATTTCAGGCTGAAGGACCCTAACAAGTAAAGAAGTCTCAGGCGAGAAGCCCGGCCCGCATTTTCGACCAGCCTCGGGGTGCGACAAGGAAGAATCAGTTATAAGGAAGAGGGCTTGAAGGATCATATGGGACTTCGACGTTTGTCCGAACAGCCGCCCTGCCGCCGCGGCGGCTCCCCAGGCGATGCATGGCTCGAAGCCGAAGAAATGCACCAGCACGCCGCACATGCACAAGAAGCATGACGGACCCGATTGCTGGTATTCGGCGAGGAGGAGGAGGAGGAGGAGGAGGAGGAGGAGGAGGAGGAGGAGGAGGAGGAGGAGGAGGAGGAGGAGGAGGAGGGGGGGGAGGAGGAGCAGCACGTGGACAAG